TTTTTTTTTTTTTTGACCTGTTCCCATTCATACTTTCTCAAAATCATCCATTCATTTATTCAACAAGTCTTTTATAAGAAGTTTTATCCACCAGATACATTTTTCTATGTACTACGGATGTGATAATGAATAAAACACATTACCATCTAGCATGCAAGGATTTTCTTATCTTTCTGAAGGTAAAATTTAAAGTTTCAGATTCCACTAAAATATAAAGGCAAAATTTACAGTATTTATCTTGGACTCGATATTGGGTTTGGGAGAGGTTAAAGCAGGATGGAGCCTAAGTAACTAGAAGGATAGAGTTGCCATTAACTAAGATGGAAAAGGTTCCAGAAAGAGCCACGTTGGAGAGAAAGAATAGGAACTCAGTTTGGATCATGTAAAATTTGAAATACCTATCAAAGTCTAACAAGGAAGGTTAAGTTGGCAGGTGAATGTGGTCCAAGTTTAAAAGAAAAGTCTGAGCTGAATAAATAAATTGGTGATACTGAAAGCCATGTGGCTGGAAAAGCTCACCAAAGCAGTACTTGCAGATATAAAAATAGAGATGTTTAAGGGATGAACCCTGGGGCAAACCAGAGCTATGAGACAGAATACAAGCCAAGGGAAGAAAAATATTTACAGCCAAAAGGAGTGATTGACTATATCAAATTCTGCTGCTAAGTCAAGTAAGATGAGGACAGAGACCTGACCATTGGATTTGGCAACGATTAGGTTTTTTTTTTTTTTTTTAATTGTGGAATCATCTCACTAACTGCCTAGACTTCCTTTCCTGATTTTCCATCTTTCCCCCACCTCTACTTTGCTTCTCAGTATATTATGAAGATGTTAGGAAGAAAAAAGACAGTGTTCTTATGCCTGAGGGATCATAAGACCGATACACAATTTCCTAAGTCTAGGAATGCTACTCCCTTGTCGTGTGTCTCTGGTTCTCACTTTCCATGGTATCTCCTCATATGATATAAGTCTCAGCTGAAATGTTACAATTAGGCCCAAAAATGCTCTGATTTTCTGTTCAATTTTAGAATCTACGATGCTATCTTTTATTTATTTATTTATCTTTTTTTAGAGACAGTATTGCTATAATTGCCCCAGTTGATCTTGAACTCCTGGCCTCAAGCAGTCCTCCTGCCTCAGCTCCCAAGTAGCTCGTATTACAGGAGTGAGCCACTGCACCTAAGTCTACAATGTTATCATTTTTAGTTCTACCATCTGAACATTCTATGCTTTTAAAGTTTCAGATTCCACTAAAATATGTGTTTGTGATGCTTGCCATCTCTTTGCCTGCTATAAGAATTAAATTTTAAAACAGAGGCTAGTAGATTAATTTTTAAAACAAGATTTACACTAGTTTCTTTCATGGTCCTAAGTTATCATTTCTGAGCATCCTAATGAGATATATTCCTCTTTGAATAATACTGCATTCATTTATTTGCCAGGTATGTATTTATTAGCTACTATGTGCCTGGTATAACAATAATGTTAAACAAGACAGTTCTTACTCTCAATCAGTGGAGGAGATGAATAGATGATGAAAAGAAGGTGATGCTAGGAGGGGACCAAGAGTATGTCTTAGACAGGCTGGAGCTGAGACTTAAAGGATAAGAAGAACTTTTTTGAGATAATATATAAAGGGAGAGGCATTCCAGGCAGAGAAAATACATATAGACCTGAGGGAAGATGGCATATTTGGGGAGAATGCTCAACATTTACTCTTGTTGGTCACTGAATGCATTGAGGAACCTAGAGAAAATGAGCAGGAGATTTAGGTAAGAGTTAGAATATACAGGATGTATGTATATACTGAACTACATACTGAAGTAAAGAATTTGGGACTTTATTTTATTTCTTCCTCCAGAACAGTGGCAATGAGAAAAGGCTTTCTCTTTTGGGTGCACTAGTGTAGTGATGTTATTCATCAAGATCACTAAAGGCCATCTGCGGAGTCTTAACGTCTGAAACACTCATTCCCTTTGGATATTGTAATACCCACCCCCGTCGTGTCCCATTGTCACACATCCTTCCTTCCACAGGGACATTACCTTCACATACTGTGTGTTGAACCTGTCCCTCAAAGTGGTCTGAGCCTGAGAACCACTGCAAAAGACAAGAAGCCACAGGAGAATTTTAGGTTGGAAAAGATCACGATCAGTTTCAGCAATTTCTCCTCCCTTTGCTTGTTTTGCAGATATTTTACCATTAAAACATAGATGGAGATTTTCATCTAAATTAATAAAAGATGCTCTCTATTCCCAAATAGATATGGAGCAGCAGAACACAATTTCTGCCCAGAATGCATGGCCAGCACAGGTAAAAAGCTCTTTACAGATTGCTAGTCAATCCATTTGCTTTACCCAAAAAGTATTTGTATAGTTTTGAATGGTTTGCAGAAATCTTTTGAAAAGTACTCTTGAAGTCTCATGTCTTTTCCTCAAAACTTGTCAGACTTGGGAGTGACAAAAGGGAGAAAATATACAAACATATGTGATACATTCACAGCTGGACTTAAACAGCAATAAAAGATAATTTTCATTTTACAACCTACTTCCAGTAGAATTTTACAATCCTACTATCTAGTAAGAATCATTTCCTCTGAGTGGTGTTCAGGCTCTGTTCAAGCAAATCGTTTCTTAAGTAGCAAATTCTTCTCACAATTTGATGTATATCAGTTTAACCAAAAGACTTTTCAAAACATAATATGTAGCAAAGCTCACAAGGTCTTTAGAACATGACACATCAAAAAAAAAAATGAAGGTAGAAATAACAAAAATATGCCCTTAGGACTTAAGTTGGCTGGGATCCCCTTCCTCTGGCATAGGGTCTAGTTATCTGGAGAATACCTTTTTTTAATATATAAGTTCACACTTGAATGATCATGTCCTGTTTTCACTCCCATATTCTAACAATGCCCAAGAAGGTCAAATAGTAAAATGATGCTGTTATTTGATAAATTATTGATGATAGACTGGTTTTGAATTCAAAGGGTTAGGAAGTTAATGGAGTTTCTCCTTAGTGGCTTACAGAGCTCCCATACCCTTCTACTATCTAGAAAGTATCACATCCTCTGAATGATGTTCATGCTCTGAGCAACATTCATGCTCTCAGAGAAGCACCTCCTTCTCTGCAAGAGCTGAAGGAGGCTGGTGGGACACAAATGCCAACTGAGTTATTGGTAAATAGAAGCCATTCTTAAATGGAAGGCAGTTCCAAGGCGACAAGCTAAAGAAAGCCAGCACCATCTAGTGGAAGGAGAGTCACACAAGAATGAACGCCTGTTGGTTTGCTTTCCAGTTCTATGTTTTGAGCTCTTTTCTGAGACTTAGGTGTGCATTGTTAATATCAGTCTCTTTTCATAATAGACTTAACCAGATAGTCTCTGACCTAGCTTCAACACTGTGTTTATTTCAGTGGTTTGTGGTTTAATAATTATAATGTTGGCTATATTTATTGAGATTTTGTTATACCTAAGCATTTCGCTAAGCCCTTGTATCAGGGCTTCTGGGTGCCGTTGTGCAGGTTGTATCCCATACAAGGTTGCTTGGGTGAGGGAATGAGGAGCCTGGAATGCATCTTCGTCTCCACTCATCCACATGGGAGCCCTAGAAAAGGGTTGCATTCGCTTGGAGAGATGACCAAAATTTTCTAAACTGCACAAAGGTGCTGTATGAGGCACTTCTGCACCTTTATGCATGCATTATCTCATTTAACCTCACAGCATTCTTTCAAATTAGATGTCATATTATTGTGACCATTTTCAAGGAAGAAGTAA